GACGGGTTTCACGTTCTCTGCACGTAATAAGCTCGGTTATTAAGCATCCTTTTTTGGGGATGCCCGGTGGCCGAGGGGAAGACGTGTAGTGGCGTGTAGCTAGGCGATTAGGTGCCGTACGCGAGCGCCGGTTCGAGTCACGCACGCAGTACGTATTTACTATAATTAGACATAGTCTTTACCTTGCCGTTTATTCGGTGTTATTTGCTTACTTTACTTCCTATGTCGACAGCAACTATGAGTTTAAAAATTATTTCTCAGTACTTATTCACTGTTAAAATGCTGTACCATTACTTTCACCATCCTACTACAGCCAGATCTGAAGGCCTTTGCCGCATTCTGGCCATGCTGTGTGGCGCGTATCGCGTGGACGGGTTTCACGTTCTCTGCACGTAATAAGCTCGGTTATTAAGCATCCTTTTTTGGGGATGCCCGGTGGCCGAGGGGAAGACGTGTAGTGGCGTGTAGCTAGGCGATTAGGTGCCGTACGCGAGCGCCGGTTCGAGTCACGCACGCAGTACGTATTTACTATAATTAGACATAGTCTTTACCTTGCCGTTTATTCGGTGTTATTTGCTTACTAGGATCTGGACAGAATGTCTATTCGGCCCAGAGAAATTACTTACTATAAGTGCTTACGCGTTGTTGCCTCGGGTGCCGAGTGACGTCGTCGTAGTGCTCCTTGGCAACGAACGGAGCATCAGGGGATGTCGTATATGTGAACTTAATCTGGGAAGCAGTGTCACGTGATTGTATTGTCCTTTGTCACACAAGCAAAACTGTTTCAAATACTAGTACCCCGGGAAAGTGTTCTTGGTTCTTGGTTGTAATGAGGTGTTCGTATGCAAGGTATTTTCCACGCAAAAACAACGAATACGTCATATTATATTTACGGTTAGCTTAATATTACCCCCAATGGATCGTTTGGCTGTGAAGGTTTGGTATTTGTTTTCCTGATTTGTAAGAATCTGAAAAAAAAACTTTTATTTTCAAGCCGTATTCAAGATGGCCGCCCCATATACTGGACGCATTTGCAGGCGACCCCCTGCGTTGGAGTGAAAACCGGAGTGGAATCACTCCGGTGATTATGCTAATTAAAAGATGTTGACAAGCATGGACAACGAATCAGAGTGCAGCTGTATACGTCATCTCTTATCTGTGTTAATGTTCGTGACCTTTCACTTCTGACTGGGTGACTTTTGAGGTCCCGGCGATTTTGAAAGACTACTTATATACATCTGACATTTAAATCGACTTGTTTTCAGTAAACATGAACTTAAAAAAGTTAAATTATCCATCTCTACGATCAAATCGAATCAACCTTTACAAGGTCACGTTTACTTTCACACACCCACTCATGAATAATCAATGCCATCATGAATAATTAATATCAGTCAAATGCCCGCAGATGCGTCTAGTCGGGATTTCTTTAGTGGTCAGGTTAGTTTTCGCGATCACGCTAAAAGGAATAAAATAACAATTAATTATTTCTTTTTGTAAAACAAGTCCCGACCTTGCCAGTCTATCCTGCACCCTTCTTGCCGTTCGCAAGGAACGCACGCAACACTCTCATAACACTCGAGCTCAGTGATTTGTATAATATGACACGTCCCACCAGTCTGGGTTGAAACGACACCTTTTTACACGTGTGTTTATACAGGAAATCATTATATTTTTTTTACAAATAAGGTTACTTTTTAATTTAAATGTTAATATTATTTGAAAGCTTAAACTAATATAATGCACAAAAGCTAATAAAGATGTAATTTTCCAAATTAAAATGAATGTTACCATTACGAATACGGAAAACAATAAAAACAAGTTACAATATTTGTTGTTTTAGGTTTCTAATGGTCGATCATTGAGTAGCATATTTCCCGAATTTCTCTGAACATTGTAATTTGTAAACAATTTGTTCATCAACTGTTGCTTAAAGCAGGAGTGTCGTCACCTGCGCACGCGCGAGAATTGAGTCAAAATATTTACAGTTATTTTCAAACAAACGCCATCAGTTACTGTCCTCTCGCCTTCGCATCTTCGTGTGATGTGATGGATGTCATCTTTGGTGCATCCCTTTACGCCTCAAGAGTAACAGTCACTGCACTAAAGAAGCACGACACTTCAGGAATAGAATTTAAAATGTCAAGACTGTGAGCAAAGTTTAAAATGATCTATTTCACGAAAATTAATTTGAAACATGTTAATATAAATGTCAAACGGATACTGTTGGAAATGCCACAATTACCGAATGTTTCCCTCGGTTACTATGGACACCTCATTACGCTGTGAGGGGATGAGATTATACACACACTAAGCGTTCCACAGTAATTTAAACCGATACACTAATCTTCGAACGGTCTTGTCTAGGATCCCAGATTTTCTATTTCTATTCATGGGCGAATCATGCATAAATAAATAAATTACAGATCCGGCTCTATGCAATTTATTTATTTATACATGACATAAATACGTGCGTGGTGTTCATGTCGCATCCAGGACAAGGACATCCAGGCTCGTACCTCTTTCCAGATAGCCGAAATACGAAAATGTATATCCTTTCTCATAGAATATAGTTCATGTTTGACATTGCTTAAGTATTAAGTACGATTTGTATGTCTCGAAGAACACTGTTAAACTGAAATTGAAGACCTCTTTTCAGACCACTTTGCTAACAAAAATATTCCTTTATATGACATTTAGTCTTAGAGAGGGACCCTATTCGGAGGTGCATATGTGTACAGTTTTTCATCGGGCCGTTTTCATTCAATTTACTCTTCAATGGTTTTAAAATTCAAGCTGATTTGAGGGGGGGGGGGTGACTGACTCATCACTCGTTTGTTTTCGTTGGCAATGCATTATACTTTTGTATTGTTCGACGCCAGTAATGTGTTTTAACTTTCCCATATATTGATTTATTTGTCTGAAACGGCTACGTATTTCTGTCTATGTCTACATGCATGTACGATAAAGCCTTGATACACTGGCACTCATAGTATATAATGACAGACCCAAGAAAAAGTTTCGACACTTTACAATATGTGTTGCAATGCGTAATGCACTACAGGAAAAATACATGCTGGCTACTCATAACGATCATGAAGTTCAACATATAATATTTAAAAAAAAAACACCATTTGATTTATGTTACTCATAAACACATACGTGACTATTAAAAGTACTTTTTCAAAGTACTGGGATAAATAATATTTTTCGATCGTAAATTTGCAATCTTTTATTTTATAAGTTAAAAATCAAGTGTTTGAAAGAAAATCTTTCCAAAGTTCTGTTGTCAATGTATATATGAGTTTTAAGTAAAGCCCGTGTTCATGCACCAACCGGTATGACATTTTTTTCACTGTACTATGTGATGTTCAGCGGGGCTCCATTCTTTCTCCTCTGCTGTTTTTGCTTTTCATTAACAATTTGGAAGAAAGCTTCACAGAGTGTCTTGCAGGTATAGACAGCTGGACCTTGGTTTACAAACGCATTCTAAAACATTTTGTTAACACCGCTCATCAACTTCCATTCAAATTCAAATATATATAATGATTGGCTCGAGTGCCCAGCATTGTCTATATTAATAATGAGCGCCCAAACGCCTATTAAAAATGAAGGGCTTGCTAATTGGGTGATGTTGAACGAGCTCGTTATTATTAATTAGATGATGTCACCATATCGTTTTTGGATTGGTTAATGTTAATTCAACCAGTCATTTTGTATAATATAACAATTTATATTTACAAAACGTTGTAACATCTGTAACATTAAAACTGTTACATATTTTGTAAATAAAAACTACTTTATAAATATTAGGTTCACATTCTTGGTAACCACAAGTCATTCACAACATGTGTAAAATTCAAGCAAGGAAGTGATGGATTACTTGCCCAGCTTGTATTAGAAACACCTCCAAGATCACCTTCAAGTGCAACACCAAAATGTTGCATTGAAAGAATTTTTTAATAAAAATGTTATATTAGTCACAAATATATGAAATCAGTAATTGGTTGCGATTGTTTGTTAAAAGAGAGGTGTCACAAGGTTCCAAAATACATATGTAATTTCAGATCATAGTAATGTAATTATTATAAAATTAATTCCATGAAGCATGCAAATTTGCAATGATAAATATAACCTGGGCAGAATAACCCCAGCAACGAATTATGGGACGTCGATGCCCAACTCAAAGTAAAATGCACGTACATCTGCTAAATTTAAGTGGAGTAATAAGGGCGCCACCAATGTCAACGAACCAACTAATTGCTTACCGGAGGGGGTCTACATGCTAATTGTCTGTTATGCTAATTCATGCATGGTATTTAATGAATGGAAAAGCTATTGTCAACGTCTTTCCTGCCACGCAGTTGCTGAGTGTACACATCATTTGTGCGTCGGAAGTCCCGGCTTTTTTATCTTTTATGAAGAAATCGCCATCGATGCAGTTTTCTAGTGGATGTCACCAATGGTTCGTCGAGTGTAACCGGTTCAATGCTCCGTTGCCAGCTGGAATAGGGCGTGTCCATCTCCACTTCGACAGCGTGCACAGCAGGTCTACGTTTCTACATGAACTGTACCGTCGACATGGTATGCATGATAATTATTTCAGAATCGTAGTGTGTTATTTTGTTCAATGCTCTGTTGGGTTTAATGCTTTTGCAAACTTTGGTATGAATTGTTCACTTGGTTGAAACACCAAATAGTTAAGACGTTTACAGTTGGAATAGATCAATACTTTTGTTAAATTTTAGTTATTTTCCTTATATTTGGCTCTCCATACTCTAGTCACTTGTCACTCGTGACTGGGGTTTGAAGTCGTGTATATATATTTGTTTCGTATATACCCTCTTTGTATTATTCCCACATTTATTTATAGTTGTGTTATTAAATATTGAGTTGAAAGTGATCCGTGGTACATCGTGGCCATTACAGGATGTAAACTCGTTCTTACAATTAATCAAATACAACGTTAGTATATCAGGCCCATTTTATAAGATAATTCAATCGTGTGCATGTGACGCAAAACTTAATAATGCCAAATATTTTGATTTCAATTATTTCCATGGGATAGCAAATTTAATGTTTTTTGGCAAATTTGTAATTCACTATCAGTATCAGTGTGTTTAAATTTCCGCGAATTAACATTATGGCATTTTACGTCTTTCAAATAACGGCCAAATAAATACGTGGAATCATTAATTACTAAGGACCTGGCGTAAAATTGGAAATTACTCCAAATAAACAAATGTCCAATTCGGGAACAGGATAATAGTATATTTGGTTATTGATGAAATAGTAGGGCGCCACGAGACGGTCTGGCTTAGCAAGTGCGTCGTGTTTCTCTCAAGAAGTTGACGCTGATTGTACACAAAGGAAGCCGCTCATCCCGTCATTGGATGGCGGCACATCGTGTATGTGGTGTTTACAAAGGACGTGCAGACCAATAATAAATAAATAAAATGATTGGTTGTCCAACTGTGGGCGTGTTTTTTATTTCTGTGCTGAATGTGCACCACCAAAGTCCCGCCATTTATTTCTCACGGTTGTTCAACCATAGTCGTCTGCACTAGTATCGCGAGTTCTAAGTTTGGTTTACTCAGTGTTTACTATGTTGGTAAAACTGCACAAATTCATTTTACCGCCACTTTACAGCGGTTTTCACACATACACCAGTTAATTCCGTTACCCAATGGCTGAAGCAATTTCACATCGACCAGACCATGGAGGTAACCTCCATGACCAGACATGCCCCAAAACAGACGACGAGATTTGACAGAATCGGCCAATGCGCATGCGTATAAAACAGCTGGTACCAATATCCTAATTTCCTAATAACTTATTTTGCACTCGTACAATGCAAAAATACATATTTGATTAGGTTGGTTGGCCATCAAGTACCATCCTATGGCACCCAATTCATATATCACCAATACCATAGTACAGAGTTATGTTAACAGCGAGTCACAAATAAGACTAATATACTAAATTTGTATTTAATTAATTGTAAGGATGAGATTACATTGTGAAATGGCCATGATGTACCACGGATCCTGGTCACACAAATACTGGGTAAAGAACCCACAAGGCAAGGTCTTTTGATCCTCCTCTGGCTACCATTATTAATTAATTAAAAACAAGCCTTGTGACAAGAGGACTGATACGAAACTTTTCTACACCAAAGATGACATTGACAGTATGCTAAAATTGTTCTTATTGACAACATTTGATATTTGGAGGATATATTTTTAAACAAATTATCTGCATTCCAATGGGGTCAAATTGTGCGCCTTTACTGAGATCTATTATTTCTTTATTCAAATGAATATGAATCTCTAAATAAAAAAATAAAAAAAACTAGCTTGGCGTAGCAGCAATCCACTCACTCCTACCTAGGGGATATATATTTCCAAGCCTATTCACCATGCCCAGGTCTGTTGTACATATGCCAAGGGTACCACTCTTCTCTGGATTTGTCCATTGTTTCGTATTATATTGTCTATGCATTTTGGTTGTTGTATTGTGTTCACGGAGTTTTATAGTTTTATATATGATCTACGATCTACGTTTATTGCCACTTTCATGTGGTTTTAAAAAGCCATTCTATATTTATTTAACAAGAGCTCTGACAGAAGGAATCAAATGGATACTGACAAAATATCTTTCTTGTGTTGATAATATGTCAAACCGAGTAACACTGTGCATGTTGCGTGTATCTGTTATACAGTTACCCTTGAGTGCAAAAGTCAACTTGTGTCGCTAATTTGAAGAAATTTGAATTTCTCGTAATGGTTTCAAAATGCATAATGGTATTATGCTCATATAGTCGAAATTTGTCCAGCAAATAAAGAAAAATACATTAAGATAGACAAAATGTTTTACTAAAATTTCGATCGAAAAAATAATGGCTCTCATAATTTACATATATTCTTATTCAGATCCTATTATAATTGGACATGGCCCTATTATGCACTTTACATGCACCACCATTGTTTTTCGAGTAGACTGGTATCTGTCTGTAGGCAAAATTGTAAAACAGAAGGGTCGTCACTCCGCAGAAATTGAGTGGGGATCATGACGCACGATAAAAACGCAAAGACTCGTAGGTATGCCGAGGCGAACCCACAAGCGGGACAATTATCATATATTTTTTTAAATCCTGGTTCAGCCTCACTAAGTTTCTTTAGAGTATGGGTATATGTACATAATATAATAAATGAATACATACTGTGTCACGACCGTACATAACGTATTTTAATCTCGGTAAAAGTCAGTGCCACAATTCCGGGAAATCGCAACACTCGGTATATAGAAACAATATATTCTGTGTTGATAGATACTAGACATTGAACGTTTTAATCCTGACAACACAAATAACCCACTTACTTTATCGAATACGTGAATAAATTAAGATAACCCTTACCTATTCTCATATATTTATTTCGCGATACAGTGTAACGATGACGATTTCCTACAAATTTGAAATTATAGTCTCAAACTAGACTTGTTTGTTTTTTGGTGTTTTTTTTTTCAATAAAATAAATTATGTGACTGTATAAAGGGTGGTGGCTATCGCTATTTATACACTCACAAAATATTTCAAAATATTTATTGAAAAAGCATACTAAAAACAAACAAGAGACTGTATGCAAGTCCACTGTAAAACATAAACTAACGTAATAGGGTTTTAATTTTAGTAGATGTGTCAAATTTAGTGAACATTACAGAAAAATAATTGTCACTACAATTTGGGGGGAAATTATTTGATTTTTTAAAAGTGCATTTTTTTATTATGCCTATCCCATGGTGCCAGTACGTGATTAGGCATGAGACGCTCTGCTATTTTATCACTAATTGAGGGCGTATCTAAAATTGGCAACACTTTCGAACGGTATTCCTCTAACTTCTTCAGGCATTCTAGTACTTTAGCTGGTCTCGAGTCAGCCAGATTATTCGATTCAGTTGGGTCTTCAGCGATGTTGTATAGACGTACAATTCGATCATCACTTCCATGACGTGTAAGTTGGTCACTTTCAGGCGCAGCGTACCAAATTTCAGGAGCTGAGGATAAACAATGAAAGATAAGTATCAATTATTTACATATTATCTTTCGCAGAAATCGCCCACCACTGCATACAATCACCAACCACAAGAAGGGCAGCATGTATTTTGAACATAAATTGTATCATACCCTCTTTACTAACCCTAAGATTCGCAAATTTGACTCAAATTCGATTAAATATTAATATAACTTATGAAAAATAGTGAGGGTCGTCACCTGGTAGGTTTGTCGGAACTTCGTAGGTGCACAATTAAACGGCGCAACGTTGATAATACAAACGCCGAGAGTTGTCAGTGCGACTTCCTAGTCGCAATGCGATTGTTCCCACCGATGATCAATTGCTTTAATGTTTGTAATATTTTCATTGACGTTTCTGCGTTTTGGCCATCGTTTAAAAGAAATTTAAAATTAGTATGTACGTACGTTTACCATTTTCTTTACAATCATCGTAATTCTTAGTTTGAATTTGTATCAAATGGAAGTAATACCGCGTTAGTTAGTTTAAAATCACGATCACCGTAACAACACATATAAATGATCATCCTCAAAATAAAAAAATACCCTATATATTTAAATATTTGTCTTAATTATTTTAAAATTATTTTATGTGAATACAAATCTGGCAGTATTATTCGAATTGTTTGTATGAAACAATTGGCGAACTTTTAACTTAATACACGTATATTTGTTCTGTTATATTAAACATATTATTTAGATCTCAATAACAATCCAAATTCAATTTGAAAACAAGATTTTCGAGCCGAAGCCTTGTCTTATTTGTATTTTTAATCACGTTTCATGCTTTGATGTCGAAGCTCTGAAATATTCCATAAATAATGTATGGTTAATATATTCATGAATCGCATATTCAGCTATGTAATTATTTTCAAACATTATGCTGTGTATATGTCATGACATCAACAGTCGTTGCGCAAATGATCTGTGTAATAAATAACAATGTGCTGGCAGCTCTTACACCCACACAATCCCAGGACACGCGTGTGGCCAATGCGCTATTTCTGAGGATTAGTTTTAGAGTTTTGTATCAATTGTAGACTGGATTCCATCTTGTGTTGGCGTGTAGATTTTGTGACAACCAATTACAATTGCTCAAAGCGGCAACGTTGATAGAGATTAGTCAACTTAAATACATACTACTATATACACAACGGATATTCTGCGAGAATCATAAAGATCCGATAACTGCAATTTTAATATAATGACTGGACTAGGGGATACACCTATGTACCAATTGCAGGTGTCTGAGAGTATTCAGCCGAATAGTCAACATTCAAATTCATCGCGGTAAAATTCAGAGTTGTAATCAACTACTTGTAGATTTAGTGATTATGAACATTTTGATCAGCTTTGCTTTGCCAGAACAAATACTATGGTGGATGGAAATTCAAAGGAATGTGACATGGATCCTCAGGAGTAAATGCAGCCAGAACACCTGGACGCCCATCCCAAATTGGAGCCACGCTGCTCAGTAGATATGATCTATACATGAAATTCTACGATCGACACGACTTTTTTTTCTAATAAAGCTGGGATATGGATCATTGTCATCAGACAAGTGTAATGCAATATGTCACATCCCTTCAAGCTCATAACTATCAAACCTTTCTTTAAACGGCTGCTCCTGGACGAACCTGGACTAGAATATCATAATCGAGAGTAATTTTCAGCAACACCTTCAAACCAGCCATACCACACTGCCCATGTCGATACTGTGACACTGAGCTTCCTTCCACTTTAATTCAAGTATAATGGCTCTGAGAGCAGTAGAGCGCAATACACTAATACACGGACACAGTAACAGCCTGGATAAGCTATGGATGACCTGTGTGTATACCACAACATGTGTCCTCACCAAAATCTTAGCTGTATTGCCAATACATTTGTCAAGAGGGCTCCATGTGCAAGTTGTCTGGGATACAGGAATATTGATTGAATTTGAGGAATCTGTTTGTTGTGAATCAGCAATGTTGAGCCATGGGACTTGTTTTCCTTGCAAGTGAATTTTCCATGGCAGAGAAATGACTAAGGACGAGTGTATGTTATCTAATGGTTGCACCAATGCCTTACTTGTAGCCCTCCATTCAGCTGTCACTGATTCACAACAACAACAACATTGATATAAAACAACGTTATTTTTTGGACAGGGCACCAGGAGTTATGGCAAAAGCTTACACTTAAAACCTTATCCATGACTTACAGGCTTTTGAAAGACTTGTGAAAGATGTGTTGTGTCTGTCAACATAGCGACACCTTCGTCAGAACTTATTGATCAACCATCAGGCTTTCCCTGCAGGTGTGAACAATTATTTGAACTCTTATTCTGATTACTATAATCAAGATAGGGGTATGAGGTCACTATATAATCAAAAAAATGGCAAAGGCTGTTATATCATGGCTTTATTATGTGTACAACGCCCTCAATGGACTACACTACAAATACACCCATGATGTATAGCTCTTCTCATCATGGCTGCGTACAGGTTAGTAAAAATAACAATCTAGCCACCCCGTCTTCTATACATAATTGGTGAACATATAACATTCTGGCGGCAGTAAACTGTTATATTAGGACTCTCAATAATGTACTATTATCGAGTTTGAAGTCAAACAACTGTCAATTTGGGAGCCATAAAGATGACGCTACAAGCTCCATTGCCAGCACCTCAGATGGACTGGGAAGCACCCGATATAGTGATAGCCTTTGCTTGATTTGGACAAAAATGCAAATTAACATTCAAAAGTGCGCTGAAATATGCCACTGATGAAGAAAGAGCTAGGTATCTATTGTTATGGACAGGAGAAAAAAGGCTTGATATGTAAAACAGCTGGAATTTTGACGATACAAATGACCGGAAGAAGTCTGACAATGTTTTATAAAAAATTGTGCAGCAGCTTGAACTGATGTCTAATCCCCGCATACATAGATACCAGTTTCATGACACGAGACAAAGAACTGGAAAAACAGATGAAAACTTCATGTCGAAATTAAAGAATGTTGCAGAAAATATAGCAAACCATAGACCTACAAGTCACAACAACGGGCAAAAATATGTAACAATTGTGGAAAAATGCATGATATTTTTACTGGAACATGGATCTCAGTGTCGCAAGTGTGAAAAAATAAACTACTGGCAATCAGTATGCAAATCATCAAAGAAAATACAATATCGTCCATTAACACAACACTGTAATAGACAGCAGATACATGAGGTACAACGCAGATAATATTACAGAAGAAGGAACCCTGACAATAGGAACTATCACTGCACATGACAACCGAGACGAAGTACACAGAAAATAAACCTGAAATGCAAGGTTGACACAGGTGCCCAGAGCAACATACTCCCATTACGCCTATTTCGTATTATCTTTCCAGATAAAATAGATAGTAAAGACAACCCCAAACCAAACAAATTGCAATGAACAAGCATGATTTAAAAAGCAAATCAAACAGTTGGGAACAGATGCAAAAGGTCCTGCCATCCTAAGCCCAAAAGCATGCAGAGCACTTATCCTAAAATTACATTGTGCTTTAGAACGAAAACGCAACAAAACATACTGAATGCCAAACAGAACAGAGTAGCTCCAACTACATTGATAGCAACACACGTCTAAAATACCGTTCACTAATGTGAAACACGGAACATCAACTACAGATTTATCCAGACTGCTTTGATGATGTATTCGTATGTTTTGAAAACTATACCAACCACATCACTTTAGATCCAAAGGTACCACCTGTAGTACATGCAGATCGCCGAATACCAATAGAGCTCCGAGACGAACTCAAAACAGAACTAACTGAGATGGAAAACTAGAATATAATTACCAAAGTTAACCAACCTACTTATTGGGTCAACTCATTCGTCATTCAAGAAATATAAGATTACGACTATGCTTGGATCCAAAATACTTGCAATCAAGACACCCCACACAAACACTTGAAGAAATCAAACTTAAGCTGACTGGTGCAAAGAAGATCTGTAAACCTGATGCCCGGAATGAATATTGGAATGATAAGCTAGATGAAGAGTCATCATTACTGACAACATTCAACACTCCATTTGGTCGGTACAGATTCCTACGAATGCCATTTGGACTCTGCATAACTTACACCTACATGAAGCTATGGAAGACCCCAGATGGGCAGGCATAAAACTAAACAGAGATAAATGTCACATAAAAAGCAGAGAATGCAGCTTCTATGGTATGTTATACACCTTTGAAAGAGTGAAGCCAAGTCCAGACAAAGTCAGAGCCAAAGAAATTATGCAGCACCCAAATGACAAGAAGAATGCAAACATTTCTTGGTCTTTTAACATAGTCCATGTATACCCAACCTGTCAGACCACACAGCATCACTGAGAGAACTCATCAAATACAACTCAGAATTCGTTTGGACACCAACAGACACAAAGAGTTCGACAAAATAAAGAGCCTTATCAACGCAGAAGCAACACTTGCCCACAATAACCAAAATAAATCAGTCATTCTTGAAGTTGATGGTTCAACCAAAGGCATAGGAGTAGTGCTACTACAAGACAACAGACCACTCGCTCTCGCATCCAAAGCACTGACACCAGCCGAAACTTGGTAGACAAATATCAAACACGAACTACTTGCTGTAGTGTATGGAAGTGAAAAGTTTCACACCTATCTATACAGATGAACATTTTGTGTCGAGAGTGATCACCAAAACGTTTGTCACCACAGGAAACAAATGAAATCACAGATATGAAAGTGAAGATATACCAGTACCACCGGATGGGCATCACACCAGTAAAGCTATTAATGATCTGTGAAGAAACAAGCAAAGACCCAACCCTTCAGTTATTGATACAATCATATATGATTGGCAAGACAGCAACATAAAAGTACAAACTGCTCAACGACCCTACTGGTCAGTATGTGATGACATATCCATTGAGGATGGGACAGTTCTGATAGGTAGCAGACTACATATATCCACAACATTGAG